GCATTAGTTTTTATGGCTTGCCCATGACCAGGGTGATGCTGAAGCATGGACAAGTCCCCCAGGGCCAGCAGCCCACCGCGACTGTCCCTGGGCTGCCATGGGTGGGAGGCAACCCCAAGATGCCCAGGAAGGCACCAGGCTGGGTGGGCTTCCAGCACCCTATGGGGCTCCCGTGGCCAGCCAGATCAGGCTGACAAGACTTTCATTTTACTGTGCTAAAGCTGTGAACTTTCTGAGGCTGCTCTTCCCCTGAGGTCTCCTGTGAAATGACAAGGCTTTCTGTTGGTCTTGGCTTGCCTGTGGAGGGGCTGGTTTCACTTACACCACTCACAGGGCCAGTCTGTCCTTGTCCTCTCTTGAGGAAGGTGGCCACTTGAAGGCAAATGCTGCCTGATCTCCTCCTTCAGTGCAGGACACATGAGCAAAATGAAGGAACTTGGGAGGATTGATTGCTGCCTCCCTGTGCACCCTGCAAGGGGGGGGGCACCTTAAACCTCTGTGGTTACCTGCTGCCACAGGAGAGTAGTCATATTATTTTTTCTTTGAAAAGAAAAATCTTGTGTCTTCCCTTTTGAGACCAGCCAGGGCTAGAGTGTAGAGCCATGTCCCTGGGAGTGTGTTCTGATCGCTTCTTCAACTTCTGTTTATACAATTTTACAAAATTTTGGCAGGAATCAAGAGCACATACCAGGGTGTTGGCTTTTATGAATCTCGTGGGATGGGAAAGTCAAGCTGACTCGATGAACTTTGGTTACATATTCCAGACAAGCACAATGACTCTATTTATTCAGACTTGGCAGCCAGAATGCAGATTGACTCTGTGGGTAATAAATTTTCACAGCCACAAAACTTCAGCGGCAACCAACCTGATCCTGTGCAAAAAAAATGCACATGAGGAAGCAGACTTGGGCTGCAAAAATATGTTAGATTATTATTCCATGTATGTGTACCAGTCAGCTAATTTATTTGGCTATTCATTGACACGAATTGCACAAATGATGCCCGGGATCTTTCTCCCTTTAAAGGAATTATTTTCTATTACAAAATGTTCATGTTTTTAAAGGACATGTGAGGGGGGGGGAAAAGAGAATTGTTCACATTACAATTGACAATCTCCTTTTAATATTTCACCCAAGACTGATTTAAGTTATCCAGTGACCTCTACGGAGAAGAGCAGGTTATTATAATGGGGACTGTTTCATGTGCTGTGCTACACTTCAAAGAGCCAAAAGGCAATAACCACTACAATTCAGTAGTCTGAACAATCTTAAGTACAATTTTGACATCTTCATGCTACAAAGCTTCAGATGCTTTCTGGGAGAGATGATGATGAAATTATTACTCTATGTGTTATAAATCAGAATGAATTGGCTCTTTAACTTGCAGATTTATGTTAACTACCTTGGTATCTGCTAATTGCATGCTCTGCAGATATTGATTGAGGATTAAAAAGTATATTTTCTTCAATCTGTGTGGTGTAAAATATGCCAACAGGAAATTTTCTCTCTGCATATTAGATCCTATGATCACTGCCTGTAAAATTGAAACGATCAGTTTAAATGGATAAACTATGCTCATTAAAGAGGAAAAATACATTTATGTAATTAAAATTACGAGACTAATATGTGTGGATAATAAAATTACTGTGGGTGCACATGTCCTCAGCTCAAACCCAGCCTCTTTGGTTTCTCCTGCGTCTGTGAATCTCAATACCTTAATTGCTGGTGTTGAGGGAAGGGCTGGGAATGCTTTGCCCACTGCAGTCTCAAAGCTTTTAATCATGCCTCTGTCTTGCATTTGGCCTCCCTCATCCATGGCTCACATTCCTTGGTTTGGTCACAGCACTCCAAATGCCAGCCCTGGGAGCACAGAAGCACCTGTCCCCCTTTGCACCACTTCAGAAACTTCCCATTTGCTGCTTGGCAATTTCAGACTTCAATGCAAAATCTCCTCCAAAGTTTTCAAAGTTTTTCCCCTGAACTTCCCCATTTAGAAATCAGCAAAGTTAAAAAATTCCTACCTTATGTACAGCTCACCTTCAGCTCTTTGAGAAACTGGACATCTTTAATGAGTCTGCTAAAAGGTTAATTTATTACATGAGGAATATCTGGGAATCTCTCATGTACTGTTCCTATCCATTAATCTCTGATTTTTTTTTTCTTTCCTGTTTCTGAGCTCAGGAGATATGAGATTAAAGAGCCTCTGAGTTAGGAAGTAAAAGGAAATGACATTCTGCTGACATTTAAACACAGGTCCATCTGAGCAGTTATTGGGAGAGAGAATCTGGGTTACTCTTTTTTGTGTCTATTTCCTGCAAGGTGGATAGAAAGGCGGTGTTTTGTTTTTTCAGCAGGTATGTTTATTTAGGATTGTTCATTAAGCAAATCTGCAGGTGTCAGCTAAGGTTCTACAAAGCATATCATACAGCAGGAGCCAGCCTCTGCCTCTGGGAGATTTTTGTCTGTAGAGCCAAGTTAGGAAAAAAATTGTGACTAGGAAAGGGGACCAAATAAATAAGTAATTTCCAAAGGCTGTTCATGCAGGGGCCTGTAATGATTAGAAGTGATTCATGGGATCTCAGCCCTGCTCTTTGCTGTGTGGGTGGTGAGCTCTGTCCTGCTCTGCAGAGCTTGCTGGAGCACTGAGGTGACAGACCCAGCCTGTATCAGCTGCATCTTGGAGCCCTGGTGACTGAGCAGAGCCCTGGCACAGCACAGAACACAGAGAAGATGTTAATAATTGCAAGTCATAGTGCTAAACCAGAGGCCCATGTGTGCCTGCCAGATCAGCAGGACTTTTCCACAATCCCTTCTCTGCCTAAACCTACTCATGTTCTTTATGCACAATAAACACTTTCACATGTCCTTTTCTGCTTGCTATGAAGCAAACTAGCATTTTTTCTCTCTGGCTCTCCCAGCCTGTTTCACTCTGACATCCATCACTCAGGATCCTGTCTCCCTGCCTGAAGGACATCTCTCCAGGCCAGCAGCTCCTGCCTCCCCTGTCACCCAGCCCCTGGCTGCAACATCATGGCCCCTTGGTCTGCTTTTGTTACTCTTCAGACATCGCTTCTATCCCTCACTTTACTTTGTCCTATGCTGTCTGTGAGCTGTATTTTAAACTATCTAGACAAGCAGGAAGAGTAATTAAATGTGAAGTGTTTCAGGATGAAATATGTTAAACAAAAAGAAATTGAATAAATATGTAAATAATAGAATCTATGTGCTGCATCTTAACACCAAGAAGCTCAGCTCAAAATAGATGAGACAATGGTTTAGTATAAATATTAAAAAGTTTTGATTTACCTGTTGTGTGGAATATATTGTAAAATAGAGACATCTAATAACAAGAGTTAAAGAAAATCATGTCTATCCTATGAACCTAGAATGATCTGTATAAGTTTCTGAATTTCAGAAGTCTGGATATCCATACAGCCTACCCATCTAGATACTCCAGTTACCCATGACTGAAATAATCATATTTGAAGCTCACATGGCTTTGCCCCAGCCAGCAACAGTGCCATGCATCTGCTTGCTCACTCCCCCTGCCCCAGTGGGATGGGGAGGAGAGGCAGGGACAAAAAAAAAGTTTGTGACTTGATATAAGAACAGTTAAACAGTTGAAATAAAATTAATAAAATAATAATATTGTAAGAATTATAATTGCAATGAAAAGGGAGACAACAAAAAGAGAGAAATTCCAAAGAAGCACAAGTGATGCAAAATATGATTGCTCAGCATCCACTGACTGATGCCCAGCCCATTCCCAAGCAGTGACTGGTGCCTCCCAGCAAACTCCCCCTCAGTTTATGTACTGGAAATGATGTTCTGTGGAAGGGAAATCCTTTTGGCCAGTTTGGGGCAGCTTTCCTGGCCATAGGCTCCCCCAGCTTTTGGTGCATCTGCTCACTGGTGGAGCAGGAGACACTGCAAAGTCCTTGACTCGCTGTAAGCTCAGCAACAACTGAGATATCAGGGACTTATCAATGCTGTTCTCACACTGAATCAAACCACAGCACCGTACCAGCTAGTAAGAAGAAGATTAATTCTATCCCAGCCAAAACCAGGACAGAAAATCACATTGTATCTGTGAGATGCAACCAGGAGCAGTACTGCCCTCACATACTCTGATGAAGGCATGGGTTGTGAATTTTAGGGAAAGAAGGAAGCGAAGGGAGTCTTGGTCTCTCACTCCCAACCAAATCATCCATGCCAGGATACTGAGAAGAACAGAGCATAGCACTGCCTGGCAACAAGGCACTCCGCTGGTCATGGGAAAGTCAAGCTCCAGCCCTGTTCTACTGAATCCTTAATGATTTAGACGAAACACAACAATATTTTAAGGAAAAATTGGGAGACACTTCCTACAGCCAAGAAAACCCAGCTCCCCTGACATATGGAGAACATTGGATGGTGTATCTGCTGCCAGTCAGGTAGTTTGGGGTGTTTGAAACACAGTTGCTGTAATCGCTGTGTTACAGAGTGAAACAAATGCACAGCCAAGGCTTTTTCTCAGCTTTCTTTAGCTTTCTTAGCAGGCATGGGCCACGCAGAGTCAGGACCAGAAATGCTCAGAGGAGAGGCCAGGGCTGGGGGGATGCTGGAGGCAGGTAAAAGATAAGCAGCCCAGCAGCTAATCCCCAGGGCCAGCTCATGATTGCAAAGTTGGCCTGAACCCTTAATCCCGAATTCCTGTTTCTCCCCTCCTTGGCCGCTCTTTAAAACAAAACAAGTTCAAATCAGAAGGAAGCTGATACAAAAACCTTCTGGGTTGCATCAAGGTAATAAATCAAGAGCGCTGCAGCCTGTTCCCCACCAATCCAGCAGTTAGCACACGCAGGCTGGCTCTGAGCAGCAACATCTGTTACTCCACTTACAGTACTGCCATGTATTTTGATAACCTTTCTGTATGTTTAGAAAAAGCATTAGCAAAATATTTGCAGTAGCTCAGTCTCGACATGAAACATGCTTCAAGTGACATGTTACTTGTCTGGTTCTTACCTGGTCATTCTCCTCTTCATCACTGCTTAACTTAAGGTCATCTTCTAGCATTCTGGAAAGCAAGCAGAATAAATTATAACCTATCAAAATGCTTTAGATTGGATATTTTCTCAGAGCCACTGTAAATATTTAATAATGTAAATAGAAAGAAAATATATTTTATCCTAGGAACTGTGTAGCTGTGACACTGTATCTTATCCGGTTGCTATTAGCTAACTTTTAAATTAATTTCCTACTATTGGTGCTTAAAAGAAAATGTTTGTTTGAATAATAATGGATTTTGCAAAGATTCTTGTTATTACAATCACTGACAAACAATTTTATATTCTAAAAAGAATATTTTTGATGCTGACAGGTCAGTACTTTCCCTGAGAGCAAATTTTTGTCCATTTGGCTTTGAGCTTACTTAACAGAAGTAGATGTTTACATTGGCAATACTGCAGCACAAAATAAGGTTCAGTGGTGTATCCCAAAGGCCACTTTTACTTTATTGCATGCTTGTTGTAAAATTGACATTGACTGAAACAATTAAAACTAAAATATATTTTCTTAGTGCACAAGAGTATCCACAGGATTTCACTGCCATGTAAATATAGAAAATAATGCATCTTTTCCAATGAGGGTTTCATCCTGCCTTCCCATATCCTTTCCCCAGCTTGATTAAACTGGCTCACAAAGAAGAGGAATCTGGTTTTATCTCCATACATTATTTTTACAATCTAAGATTAAGCAACCAGGAGTTAAAGGAGTTGAAGATGTGCAAAGATTTCCCCCAGTGCTTGAAAAGTCTTACAGAATAGGACCTATTTTTAAAATGTGCCTTGGTAATAATAGTAATAATTCAGAAAGTTGCTAATTTTTTCTTGCTCTCTGGGAAAAAAGAATCTGTAATTTCATCTCAGCTCCAGAAGAAAGCTTGGTGAGCAATTCAAACACATCCTGTGCCGTGGGTGGTCCCTGGAGTGTAAGTATTGCAAGAAGACATATGTAGTAATTTCAAACCACCTCCTTGTACTTGTGCCTAGATCTTCCAGGAGCGTGCCTGCAGAGCATGACTCCTCCCTGGGCTGCATGGTGTGCTGTGGCTGAAAAGAGCCCAGAGCCCAGCACGCCCTCCTCAGCTCCTCGTGTGCGCGCAGCCCCTGCCTGCTGCTGCTGCCACAGCTGCCTCCCCATCTCCCCACGGCACCTCTCAGGGAATGGAGGTGGGTGAGAACAGGGCTGGGCGTTGGAGCACAAATTCTTTCTAGTTCATCTCTTAAAGATTCTCCTCTTGCTTTTTCCCCCACATTTGTTTCTACTTGTGCCAACGTTTCTCCTCTGTAAAATCAGCGTATCAAACTCAGCAAAATCTCTTGGCAGTGCAGACACCTCAAATATACAGGAGACTCATTGAGTTGGAGGGACTTGACAATCTCCCATCAGGACTTGCCTATGTTTTATCTCAAAGTATGTCCATTGTCAGGAAAAAGCTCTCTCTGCCATCTCCCAAATCAGCAAACCTTTGATGGCCATATCAATGCCAGCACTGACCCAGCTAACAAGCCCTGTTGAGAAGTGGGCAAACAGGACAGGTATGATGACACAGGATACAGCTCCTAGGAGAGATACAGCTCCACATCAGAGAGGAAAAACTTCCTGTAAACACCACAAGATCCATACTGGCCTTGGATCTCATCACTTACAGGGATCCAAAAAAATCTTATAATTGCTCATGCTTTTAATTGGATCGGCTTAGGCCATGCCTCAGAAAGCAGTGCATGAAAATAGAAAGCTCAGATCTGGGATTTGGCACCTATGTGATGAAATCTGCACTGATAGTGATTTAACCAGACAGTGGTATGCTTGTGTGAAAAGGAGAACTCCCAGGGTGCCACTTCCTGCTCTTCCTTGAGTGCATGAATTTCTGCTAGTGATGTGGTAGTTAAATACATTTACTTTAGGTTTAGCAGTTTAGTTCTTCTCCTAAATGGAAGCTGAAAAATCAAAAGTATATAATGAAACATTCTAGATACCTGTGTGTATTTATCAGTGTCCTGGATTTTTGTATTAACATATAAAAAAGTGTTTTTGTGAGCTTGTCATTACAAGCAACTAGGATATTCAGAAGCCTTCAGGCTGTGTGGTGGTGTGAGACAAGGACTACAATCCAGTATCATCCACACAAAAGGAATAACAAACAGCAGCACTGATCCTTCAAACTCTCCTTGCTTGTACATCTTAGACCATCTTTATTTTCCCTGTCTGTTTTTCATTTCAGAAGTGCTCCTTTCCAAGAAAAGCACTGCCTGCCTGGGGCTCACGGCCCCTTTTGGAATTACCATCAGACTACAAACATGCTCCTAACACTGGGGATAGGAAAAATAACCAGGTCATCATAAAATGCTTGCTTGCTTGCTTTTTTTTCCCCCTAGAGAGGGATCTGGCTGATACAAGGATATATCAGGTTGCCAGTACAGGTCTACTTTGTAAAGCAGGAGCTGTGCAGGTATAACCTCTGTGCCTGAAAGACTTCACTGGCTCCCAGACAGCTTTCACTCTCAGGTGAGGCCCTCAGCCCTCATCCACAAAGCCACAGCCAGAGCTGGACACTGTCACCTGGCTTGGGCTGAGGAGGGGATGTTTATGTTACAGGGATTCCATTTTAATGGTATATCGATTTTAAGTATGGATGTTTTTGAGGAATGTTTCTCCTTAACAGCTCATTTCCATCCTGAAAACAATGGTAGTTGAAAGAAAAATTCCACAGCTGGACCACCTGAAAGACCCCACTTGAAAAGAGTGAGAACAGAAGAGAAGTAAAATAACCGCACAAGAGGTGTTACACTAAATTGTAATTTATCTCAAAAGCACTTTGACACAAATTCAGCACAGAATGAGCTTTGGTACACCCTGTGTTAGCAGAGCACTTCAGACCATGTTTAAAACCATAAACTTGTTTGGGATAGGATTTCTTTACATAGTCTGGCAAACTTAGTATAAGGATGGAGAGACAAGCACAGACAAGCTCGTGTGCAAACACAGCCTTTACACTTTTTTCAGAATGTGCAAAATTCAGGCCAGTAAGTGACATCATGCATGGGCTTTCAGGTTTTTAAAATGAACCTGGCTTTGATGTATTTGGGCATTGGTAAAGATGTAAGTAAATACAACCTTGTAAACAAAAGCCAGAAAAATGAAGTGGTACTCAAAGCAGCTCTGAAAAACACACAGCACCACTTAGGGCTTCTGCACTTGAAAAGGGCACATATGGCCAGGAAGTCACTTTGCAGAACCTAATTATACATTTTTGTGAAATCTCTGTGAGGTTATGGAGGCAGTGAGGGGTGGGCTCAGGCAGGAGTGCTCACTGCTCTCTAATTAATGCATTTGCTCCTTTCTCTGCAAAGAATGTGACAGGTAGAGCCACAATGAAAGGAGAGGAGGATGGGTTTGGGATATTGGGAAATGCCTCAGCAAGCCAGCTGGTTTCGTTCTCCAGGAACAAGGGGTTGCAGCCTGGGGTGATGGGCCATTCAGTTACAGGGGAAAAGGGGGGGCTGTGCAGGCTTACTTATGTGAGGAGGAAAATACAGAGTGGTCTGGAGGGCATTGATGTACAACATCTGCCAACATCAACGTGACTGTGTGTCCAAATCTCCTACAGCTTTTTAGAAACCCTGACCTGTTTTAATCTGAGGGTTACTCACTGCACTGGTTCAGAAGGACACTGGGGCTGGGGCAGCCTTGTGCTGCACTGCAGAGAGACCTCTGGGACTCTTCCTCATCTCAACATGCCAAAGGGCCAGCACCTGCTCCTGATCAAAATCACAGGGGATTTGGGATGGGAGGTCATCACAGGCTGCCAGGGAACCACCTTGCTCAAATGGAATAGTTGAGACTTGCAACTTTGCTGTTTTGCTTGTCTGCCTTTTTACCTGGTTTGTCACTGCAGGAAAGCGAAGCCCCTAGCAAGTGTTATCTAGCCCAGCCAGAGTGCAGGGAGTAGCTGGAAGACATCTGGTTTCTCCTCTGGGAATTAACATCCAAGTAACAACAAGTTTCAAGTGTGAGGGTAGAGTCAGGCCTTATGTCAAAGATTTCTGGATGATTCTCCTTCTGAGAAGAAGGAGCTGCTGGGGAAGGAGATGTCAATGCAGCAGTGTCTGGAGGAGGTCGTTCTCAAGAGCCAGCCAAGAATCTGTGGTCACTTTTGATGTATGGAGCCACTCTGAGGTGCTTCCAGCATAGCCCTACTTAGGAGGATATCTATTCCCTTTTACAGTGAAGACATGCCTGAATCCTGGAATTATCCTTCACACCTGCTGGTGCACACGAAAGAAGCAGCAGGCCTAACACCTTGTATTTCACTTTAACCACTGATAAATTTCACATTCCTTGGCCTAATGGTTTCTTTCCTTTCCCCTGCAAATTACTTACTGAGGCATAAAACTCTCAAAAAATTCCTCTGTGGTTTGTCTTTTTTTTTGCTCATTAGAGAAAGGCTCCCTTTTGGCATCTCAAGAGAGGTTATACAAATGAGGGACACAAAATTCTACGTCCCTCTGGTGGTCTAAGCTACTATATAAGATATGGTCTTTCCTCATGATAATGTTGGTCATTATAATGACCAGAAAAAAAAATCAAGAAGGGAAGGGGAAAATATTGATAGTAATTAAATCATTAACACTAAAACTTTAGGAAAGAACATGCCAATGGCTTGTGAGCACAGGATATAAATACATGTATATTGCAATTGTCCTTTAAATAAAGTCAGAAGTTGCTGTCTTTGCAATCTGTAAAATATCTCCTGAACGTGTTAATCTGATCAAGTGTATTGTTCCAGTTTAATTCTAGGCAGCATCTCAGTCAGAATACCATGTGCACTATGGACTTCTATGATTTCTTCCCACTATGAAGGAAAGAAGCTTCAGTAGTGGAAAAATACTTTGATTTTAGCTGAAGCAAAGAGTTGCAATGAAATGCCAAAATCAAATAACTAAGTGCTCTGAGTTTAGGCTACCACAATGTTTTATTCTGAATGCTTTTGGAAAATTATCTTATTTTCAATGT